GGACGCGCTCTCTGCCGTCACGGCTTATACTGAGCAGATGCCATTTTCGTACTGTTTGGTTTTATTATAATCTATTTGTTTTTTTATTTAATACTTTTTCTTTCTTTCTTTCTTAGTCGCGCTATGGCGGACGTCTTCTTGTGTTCTGTTATCAAATTACATCAGTATAAGTATGTACCTAGTCTTGTGTATGAGTTCGAATCAACTCTCGTTGCACGACCTATAAGATGGTCAAGAATATTCAGAGATCAAAAAATAATTCTCAAGAATCTCACCTTATATCCTCCACTACAGTATTAACACCGTTCACGAAATCATCAGCTGTCAAGGTCATTGGATCCAGTTTGACTCCGATTCCGAAGTCTTTGTACTTCTTCGCGTTGTAGGCCTGTTCAGCCATCATCGGTATACCTACTAGAGGCACTGCAGCGTCTATGGCTTCATCAGTAGACTGCAGTCCGCATTGCGTGACGAACGCCTTTATGTTTGGGTGGACTGTGAACAAATACTAAATCATCAATTATATTTGCAAATAATGAGGGAGGTGGATGCGAGCGGCGGAGGTTCGGTCTTGTGGAAATCCTTGGGGGAGGCCTTTGTCCAGCAGTGGACGTCTTTCGGCTGAAACGAACGATATTTGCTAATTGATTCTTCTCACCCACAGTGTACGTCGCACGTCCCGTAATCAATATCACTTTTTTAGTTACCAAACATAAAAATTCAGGCAGAATTTTGAGAAATAAATGGGTGCTCTATTCAAACATTCATTCATTCTTACGAATTAACTTCTTCAAGTTTCTGAACAAAAGGTAGGCTAGACTGATAACCTGTCAAGTAAAATTTCTTCTCAGCTAATCCAATAACTTCTGCATGTAGATACTCGTACCTCATACAGAACAGGTGCCAAAAATTATTAAAATTGATCAAACATTAATTTACTTTAGGTAGTTTAGATAACCTTTGTACGCTCAAGTCTGCGTCACGTAAGACTAGTTATTGAAGATTCATAACAACAACTCGACACTTACAAAGCAAATCTCTCTGAGGGAACCACTTCATGTATTTGACGTTTTTCGGCACATTCTCCAAGTTATCTTCATCGAATTTCCACAGTATATCATAGGGCAGCTTTCCGAACGCCTCCAGGATTGCACCCAAGAGCTCCTTGAACATCCTTGACGGCATTATGTTGCTCCCAAAGCTGACGTAAATGACTCCACGAGTGGAACTGTCTAAATAATCCTTTAAGTCCTGAAAAAAGTAAAGAGTGGTCGTAGAACTTTTTTTAAATTATTATATCTGACCCAGCAAACTTTGTACCGCTTAGAATATGCCTATGTTCATTCATCAGAACTAATTTTCGATTCTAATGGTGAAAGAATTTTTCAAATTAATCCAGTAGTTTCGGAGTTAATTCAATTAAAATAAACAACCAAATCTTTCCTCTTTTTAATATTAGTGTACCTAAATAAAACACTTACCTTTGGGATTTCTTTAACCGGCTGCAATTGGACTGCACCCAAATAAATAATATTCGGAGGCACTGGTCGGTTATTAGCGAAATCAGCATATGAATTCAAAAGCAGTAAGTCAATATTCTCTCTTAGTTCATTCACAGTTGGAGCATTGGCTCCGAAATTCTCCTTCAGCAATTCATTTTGTTTGTGCTCCAACCTTTCAAACATCGCATACATTCGATATTCATAATACAACTCTTTTGCCCATTCAAACAGATTCAGATCATCAAATTTGTTTCTATGGAGATGGGGGTACAAAATTGGATGCCTTCCAATCCCTCCAAGCATTTCATACTGTTCCGCAAAACCCATAAAAGATGGGAACATTATCACCGGCGCTTTGAAAATTTCCGTAAACATCAAATGGTAATCTAAAAACCCTTCCACCACGATCAAATCAAACCGTTGATTCTTATCGTTGATCAATTTTTGCACTGGTGGGTGGTTCATTTGGTCAACGTATGCATAAACGAACTTTTCGTACAGATTACCAGCTATGATAGCATCAATATCCATGATGACTCCCTGTTTCAAGTCCAATAAATTGGCTGTGAAAAGATTTTTCATAACTTGATATGAAAAACTTACGTCGATATCGGTCAAGTTTTCTGGTCGTGTATCAGGAGGAAAAGGGTCAGGCGAAACAACAACAAGTTCATGCCCTCTTTTGGCTAATTCTTTGGTATAACTTTGGAATACGATCTGATGACTCCTTGAGGGCATGGGAAATATCCCTAAAATTCTTGCACAGTTGACACTATTCATCAATATAATGGAAATTAACACCAAAATCGTCGAAGACTGCATTTTTGTGCGCTACGATCACTCGCGGTCACTTACAAACACTTAGGTAAACACTTTTTATGAATGAATTATAATCTTTTTTCTTACTATACACGGATGGACATTGTAATTCACGATCACGCGTAGTGTTTCTCGTGTGAATATTTTACTAACTGATCTTAAAATAGCATCGGCTCACAGTCACATCGGTGACTACGCCTCTAATTTTTTGTAGCATACAATGTTGAAAAAACTTGTGAAGTGCGAGTCAGACTCGCACCCGAGGGTTCCGTACAAATTGGTAAGTAAGAATCATAGTACGAGAGCCCACGACCAAAATTTTTGTCTCATAGCAATACGGCCAAAACCGCATCAAATCGATAGATACGATTATCCTGAACTCGAAAATACCAATATCAGACATTTTCCGCGTAGCGTTTGATCTGACCGAATTTTCAAAATTGTCATAGAATTTTACCGAACTGCATCATAGCAATATGTCTGATTTGCAGACTGTAGTTGAATGATAGTTCTGAGATACCGGAAACATTATTTTCAGACGTTAGTGGTGTAGCGCAAACCCGTAAAATCACTTAAAAAAATTAAAAATGAGACAAAAAAAATGTCTCATAGCAATACGTCTGAAAATCTTTTTTATTAGTAAATTTTGGTTATTTGATGCGAACAAAACAATTTTCAGACGGAAATGTGAACGCATTAAATTTTGAGACCGTTTTGAAAATGTTAACAAATTTTACCGATCGGTATCATAGCAATATGTCTGAAAATTGTTGGACATGATAAAATAAGTTGTCCACATGTGCAAAAAATTTATATCAGACAAATTAAGTGTAGCACCTTCTCTATCATACAACTTTTTGATACACTTAAAGTGTCTGAAAACAGGTTTTTGGTAATCATGGCAGCAATACGAAAAGTTAAAAAAAATAATTATCCGTATTGCTATGATACAGGTCGGCTAAATTTGTTGACATTTTCAAAAATGCGCACAGGCTATATGCTACGCGCAAAATGTCTGAAAACAAACTTTTTCGTAATACAATTATAAAATCTATGTACATTTTCACTATCAGACGTATTGCTATAATACCGACTGTCTTTTTTTTTTGACACAGCAGAAATGGCCTCCCCCTCAGTTGCTACACTTTCGACCGTTACTACACACCTAGTCGGGTTCAGAATCATACAATCTAACGATTTTATAGGGTTTTTGCCGTATTGCTATGACACATGGTTTTGGTCGTGGGCTCTCGTACTATCAATTTGTCTCCTTGAATCAGTTTAAGTTTGTGATCGCAACTTGTTTTTGTGATGGAAAAGCAAACTAACGATTTTCGAATGTTTTTCTTACTTCTGCAGTAAGACCTTCCTTCTTACCATCATTCTAGTTCTAAATTAATTCTAAATCTACGGGAAGTAGATGCCCTAATCATCTATAGGTTTTGCAAGTAAGTAAGTAAGTAGTAGAAAAAGTACGAAGGGTCTTCTAAAACTAAATAATCCTCGTACGTGGTAGGGCAAAACTAAGTCATCACGGTCATGAAATAAAAAGAACAACAAAGTGATTATGTTACGGTTAATGTGATAAATTGAAAATTATTAATAATAACCGGTTATTATGAATAATTCCCGACAGTCGCGGTGAAAGTGATAAATTAATCACATTTAACAGTGATTATTTAATAATTCAACCTTAGTACATACTAACAAATTTCATAAAAGAGAACAACATCTTGTGTACGTGTTCGTGTACAGCCAAACTTTTGAACGTTTTGATATCATATATTAATATAATTTGTCATAATGAGTTTGGAATGTTTCTTGCATAATATTACTTTTCCATGATGCCTATAACATAATGTTTTGATTTAAAGTGAAAAATAGGTTAAGGTGCGGCGGGGCCTATTTAGTTTTATACACACATAAATGACCTCATATTAATCACATTTACCAAATCATGCGGTAATTATTCATAATAACCGGCGATTATTCATAATTTTCACATTTATCACTTTGACCGTAACAATTATACCTATCCTACATAATTTGTAAAGATTCCGTTTTTCCTTTTGTGCGAAACCATTATCAAAACTGATAACATTGACCGATGCATCGTAAAACAATAGTTTGCTTCTTTGTTATCTATTCCTAGATAATTCAGGTTAATGATCTTATATCAATGAGTTTTTGTAATTTTATTTCAGTGTCTCATTTGTACTATAACTTTGGGCATTTATTGCAATTGAAAACTTAGATTATGTTTAAATAAATACGTTGTAAATATTGTTTTTAGAGTATGTCTTGATAAAAGAAAACAATTGCTAGCGCGAAATTTTATCTCAAACTTTGTTTGAAGATCTTTCTCATAAATAAGCGTGGAGCTGTTTTGGGTAAAAGTTCGTTTCAGTCAAATGACGTTTACTGGCTTCCCCAAGGATTTCCATCCCACAACGACCGATCTTGCCGCTGTCGTTTGTTGTACCTACCCACGTATATCTTTATCGAGTCAAATTACTGTTTACGTCACAGAAAAATATCGACTTTATTTGTTTAACTTACTGTCATTATTTTTAGATATTATCAAACTTTATTCTACCAGAAATAATAACCATGTACCTAATTTAATATGGCGAAATCATGGTACTCCATGACGGAAACATTCACAGTATCGGTTCGATCATTTGTCGTTCATTCTTTCTTTGACATTTACTGACAGTGACAGTGTGTGTGTGATCAAAACAAAAATGGCTGGATATCGTAATATTATAAGATTTAACTACACAAATTCAAAAGTTGAATTCTTTACCATCCTTGCAAAGACAAGCTTTAAAAAGTTCGACCTTAATTACTACAGTGCCATTAAGGAAGAACTACTGCAAGTTCAAGAGGAAAATAAATCTGACAAACCTACAACTTCACGCGCGAGCGAGAAAAAAAAATCGTCGTACGACAACGAATACGAACTGTATAAGGACAGGGAGGCCCTGATTTTGATTAAGAAAAGAGAAAACCCAAATGATCCCGTATTAAGGTATTTACCATTGGAAGATTCTTTCGATGCTCTTATTACGATTCACTTGATGGTTGGCCATAACAATACGAATGAATTTCTGAAATTGGTAAAAGAAAAGTACGCGGTCCCTGAATGCTACGTAGATTTTATTCTAATTGCGTGTAACGTATGTTGTAATAAAAAAAAGAAAGAGGAACGTGAACGAAAGTCAAAACAAGAATTGAATGTACCAAATGATAACAAACAAGAACAAAAAGATGATCACGACAATGTTAGTACTGATCAGTACAATAAGGATGTGAGAGTCGAAATTTGTGACATGACGTTATATCGAATAGATGGCAACTTCAAGTTCCTATTAATATACGTCGATATAAACACGTCTTTCACTTTACTCCGGCCATTGCTACTGCGGTGTGTTCAAGAAATTGCCACTGAGATGCTAAATATATTCTCAGGTTTCGGGCCACCTAAAAACTTATATGTTCATGATAACGACCAATATCTTTTTAATGAAGTTTTATCATTCATTTACAATAATTTTTGCCCGGAGAGTAGCATGCCTGATATAAAGATTTTTCAAATGAACTTGAACAGCAGTGTCATATTAAATATGCTCTCCTCGTGGATGTTATCGACAGGTCACAAAAATTGGGGTATAGCCTGCCATTTGTTCCAGTGGCATTTGAATAATACGGTAAAAGGGATTTATATTTCTAAATTATGTTCGGTTGAAAGAAGATCAAACGTTGCTCGAAAAACGCCTTATTCAAGCGTGTTCCAGAATTCCATTCCATTGCAAACTGATGTTCAGAAAGAGTCAGTAAAGAGAAAGCGGAAAAGAACCGATATCGTTATGTGGGATGATATAAATGCAAAAAAGAATGAACAAGAAAATGTCAGCGAAGACGATATCAATGAATGGTACAAGGGGAAACCGGCAGTAGTGGAAAGTTATGATATTACGATTATAGAAGAAGATGACGACGATTCAAATAATATCTGCTGTGTGTGTGATCGTCAAATACTCAAAATAGCCACTTGTCAACAATGCAGGCGAAATATACACGCGTTTTGTGGAGAGAAGCCAAAACATTATGAAAATTCTAAGTTATTATGCTTTTTGTGTTGTAAAAAGCAAGCATCTTTACCTCTTTGAAAATGTCCCATATTGGTTGAAAGACATGGAGTACCGAGTAAGGCATGTATCTTCTCGCTCGCACTCGCATGTTTTGGCGGAACTGTGTCCCTTTCTACAGTATTGTTTGTTTGACAACTTAAAACATCGTTCATTCATTCATTCAAACATAAATGATGGTTGTTTTGATTAATATTTTGTATTAAGAATAGAGTTTTAATTGTTTTATTAACTTAATTTGGTTGTAAAGTTCATTATACCACAAGAGTTAGTACTAATACCTAAAGTTAACGTGGAAAGTGTGACAAAGTGAAATTTCTCCAAACAGAAGTTTTTAGGTTATGTTGTGCACTGAAAAATTTCTGTTGACACAGGTATTTCTGTTTTTATTATTTGTCAATTAAGTATCCACAGTTTAAATTATTACAGTGACATGCAATATAATTTATATTTAGAATACTTACTTTTTGATACCTATACTCATTATTTTTGCTCTCACTATTCAATAGAAAATCTTAAGTTTACCGTAACCATAAATTATGGTATTATGGTCCATAATACCTGTGGCTAAACAATAATCGTTTCTTTGTTTGTTAATGAATGCGACAATTATAGGTTTTTATTGCAATTTATACAAAAACATATTACATTGTCAAAATCTAAAGTATGCAAATCCTTTGCAGTTAAGTTTACTCTCCAACCTTTCTGTATTTGCTTATCTGGGCAATGTTAGGCTGGTTTTAGTGTCACGCGGACTGTCAGTGCGGGTCTACACCGGACGGTCTGCGTGACACTAAAACCAGCCTTACAGTGAAGTGCAGTCAGTGTTCTAGTAGTACATAATACACTTAACACTAACTCTGCCAGCCTAAGGCAGGGGAGCAGCATGGGAGGGTGTTTTTGAGACGTCAAATGTCAGCGAGACTTTCAGATTTATGCTCTGACATGTTATAATATGTCAATGTCACGCCTCCCAGTTGCTCCCATACCTCGGGCATTGAATCATTTAAGTAATAACTATAAACAATTAACTGTTCAGTATTTTAATTATTAATTAAGCATTTCACTGCGGGGCCATTCTATGGTTACCTAAAATGACTTCAATCACTGTAAAAATGTGCACATACTGAAGAAAAAACTATTTATTTCTTCATAGTACGATAACATGGAAAATTAACATGTACCGTAGATGACGGTCACTTTAGCCCAAGAGGGCAACGTTGGCTCTAAACAAGAAAGTATTTAATTTCCCACTTCTTTCAATCCCGCGTGGAATTTTGTTTTGTATGAAAATTAAAATAATTAAAATGAAGATATCAATTTTCTGACTTCACCATACCATTTATATGACCATGTTAACATGGGCTAGTGTCGGCTCATATACCCATTTACCTAACACCCTGTAGATATTATTTACAAAGAAGCGCTTACATAAACTAGACACTTACTTACGATTTTTGCACTTACTGAAATTGAATAATATCATAGGGTTGAAATAATTGAAATGTTAATTTTACTCTTATATTATATTTTTTTTACTTGAACAATAAGTTATTTGATATTTTTCATAGATTAAGACTGTATTCAAGTATTTTTAGATAAATAATCTGACTGAAATTTGGAGGGTAGGGAAGTACCTACTGATTACTTGTTACGGATCATTTATCATTAATTGTATGTTAGTTGATTAGTCAAACTTTTGATAACTTTGGAAGGAATTATTATTAGCCTTTCAACAATTTTTAAGTAATTTTAGCTATTCACTCTTATAAAATAAAAGATTAATAATTGGGAGTAAGGAAATAATATCTGAATTCTTTGAATTATTGTGTGATTGAATTTTACATGTTAAATTTTGTTTAAATGTATCAGTTATTTATGCGAATACGGCTCCCTGACTGAGTTTACTATTATAGTTTATTATAATATCAGCCTACTTAAATAATAAACATATTTTTAAAAACCAATTTCATTGTTTTTATTTCTGTAGGTCATGAATATTAATAATTGCATTAAAAATAAGCTTTGTCATTTTTTATTACATTTGCAAAACCAAAAAGTATTATCAAATATTAAATTTAATTTGTAATTTACAAAATTGCAGAAATTATGATAAAATAAATAACATTTTAATGAGTACTACAATATAGTTCCTGCTTCCTGTAATTCGATTTATTCTGTGGCTATGCTATTAATATACATTTCTATACAGGGTGTTAGGTAAATGGGTATATGAGCTGACATTAGCCCATGTTAACATGGCCATATAAATGGTATGGTGAGGTCAGATTTGATATCATTTTAATTTTTTTAATTTTCATACAAAATAAATTTTATAAAATCCGATTTGTTTGTATGAATATTAAAATAATTAAAATGAAGATTTAAATTTTCTGACATCACCATACCCATGTTAACATGGGCTAGTGTCAGCTCATTTTTACCTAACACCCTGTATAAGGTTTCACCAAAAATACCATCATCTTGTTATTACTTACATGTACTCACAAATACATTCACATCAAAATCTTTGCCGCGTCTTATAGCGGTCAGCTGTGTTTGCAACTACTCTCTAAGAATTGACTCCCTAAGTGTTGTAAAAACGTCTAATCATCTGCAATTACTGTTTTAAACTGTGCTCAAGTGTGTTCTCCATCGAATAAACTACCAGTGTGAATAAAAATAGTGAAAACAACGCAAATTACAATCGCGCTGAATCATACATCAACCAACAGTCAGCGCAGTCACCATTAAGTCCAGCGCGAAGCCCACAGGTGAATAACACGGTTACGCACAGCGCATAAGCACCNTCAGGCAGGTACAGTCAGCGTCAAATAGTTGTGACATCCAAAGTAGCCAATAAGTTCGCAACACGTCTTTGTTGCAATTGGAATGAGGTTGTGTTTTCATCTTTTTGGCCACTTTGGGTGTCACGATATTTCACGTGTATCAGTACTAGCTTTCCGCCCGCGTGGATTTTTTTCTGTCACAGGAAAACTTTATCGCGCGGGTCCCTGTTTGAAAAACCGGTATAAAAACTATCTTATGTCCTTTCCCGGGACTCAAACTATATGCAAACATGAAAATCGGTTCAGTGGTTTAGGCATGAAAGCAAGACAGACAGACAGAGTTACTTTCGCATTTATAATATTAGTATAGATATAACTAGATCTAGCTTGATGTGCTGTCGTCTATTAGTATTCCAAAATTCTGTCAGAGATTCTTTTAATCCTTTTCATTTGTCTACAGATCCAGAGAAGATTTTTAAACAACGAAAGAGGAATTCTAAATTTAACTGGAAATGTGCCTAAATAAGGCTTCTATCTACTAGACGCATAAATGGCAAAATGGCATCTTCATCAAATGAATGCAATGAAGCAGAAATTGACGTTGACAAATTCAGAGAAGACTTCTGTGATACTATTAGCAAACTCCCCGGTTGTATGCGTCACAGGGAATATGAAAAAGTTGTTAGAAAATTACAGTTGCCCAGCTACAGAGGCGAAGAAAAGGAAAAGTTTGATGTTACACATAAAAGAGGAAAACTATATTTAATTGATAAATGCAGCCAATTAAATGCACCGAAAAGAAAACACCTGTCAGTAGAAGATATGTTTCAAATTATCTACGAAGCCCATTTCCATGTCGATGTCAACGGACATCTTGATCTAATACAAATGCGAGAACTGATTGCGTATACACATCCAAATTTTGTGATACCAGCTGAAGCTATAGATTGGGTTGTAAATAATTGTAAAGTTTGTACACCACAAAATAGTGACTCCAAAGAAATAGTATCAAATAATTTCAAAACAGGCCATAAACACGATTTTGACAGAAACCAATATGTCCATTATAAAGTTTTAGTATCCATTTGTGACATGTCAAAAGAGAGTGTTAGGGATAGTCCTTTTAAATATGTTTTGATATACAAAGATGCAGGTTACAATAGGTCACATACTTTTATTTTGTTAAGACCGCTAATTGATAATAGCACTTTTGAAGTAGCTTCGGAATTAGCGAAAATATTTTTTACTTTTGGCCCACCGAGAAAAATTCTTGTTAACAAAGGTGAAGGTGAATACTTTGACCGTGTAAAATGTAATTTGAGCAAATTATGTGGAGAATGTGATGTGATTATAGGAGTATGTCCTGAGAGGGCGACGGCAAAAACTGATAAATATGTTGTTGAAAAAATTTTACAATGGGAGAAGGAGATGGGAAGTTCCGAATGGGCTCTTGGTTGTCACATTGTTCAATGGAAACTAAACCAGAAACGAAAGGGATTGGAATCACCGTATGAAAAGATGTTTAGTGTAACATGCGAGAAAGGTAAACAAAAAAAGTCAACAACAAGTCCAGAAATAATTTATATTGAAGAGGACAAAAACGACAATCACTTGGATTCCCTTTCTGTTGTCGACGCCCCACCTGTTACTGGAGCTAAAAGTAATTTGGAGAATGAAGTTGCGGCACAAGATAATATTGCAAGACGCGATTCCAATTTGATAAGTGTAGATCAAGTTGAATCGTTAGAATCTACTGAAGATGAAGATGATCAGAATCAACATCAGCATTCTCAAAAAGTTTTGTCCTCTGATGGACATAAGTCTAAAACAGCGATTACTTCAAATTCCATTGAAGAGAAAATTTCATCATGTCATATTCAGAATCAATATGCCCCAAACCCTACTACTTCAAATTCAATTGAAGAAGCAATTTCATCGTTTCATATTCCGAATCAACATCTTCAAGAGGTTCAAAAAGTTATGCCCTCCGACGAACATGACACAAATACAGCTAATACTTCAAATTTCATTGAAACAGCGATTGTAGCCGATGAAAATTGTTCCATCATAGTTAAGGACGAATCAGAAAATTTACAGTTAAATACTAAACTGACTAAAGATCTAGTAAGAAGTATTTGCGATGATTTCAACATTGTTTTATATCCAAGCGACAGAGATATTACTACGGATGCTCAAGAGGTTCAAGAGAAACAGAATAATAATTATGAAAATAACAAACTTTGTAAGGTGTGCCAAATTGTAATATTAAAATATTTTGTGTGCGTCAGATGCAAGGAATATGTTCATTTATATTGCGCAGTGCAACGTAGAACCGCTGAAGAGTCTCAAGTGATTTGTTTTTTGTGTGCAAGTTTGTAGTGTACACCCTGGACTACAGACTTTTACTCGGCTGATAGTTTGGTCGGTTTACAATTTTTATGAGGAGTCGGCCGGTACCAAATCGGTGCAGTTTGTAAACTTCCATAAATGTTCATACTGATTAACAGCCTGAACAAACTATCGGCCGACAAAAAGGCGGTACCAACTTTCAACCTTAGAGTTTTGTCATTTTGTCGTTCGGTTGGTTGACTTCGTCATCCAGTCAGCGTCAAATAGTTCGTGGCACCCAAAGTGGTCTTAAAGTTGACAATACAAACTTTTTATTCCGATTGTAACAAAGACATGCGGTGCAAACGTTTTGGCTATTTTGGATGTCATGAACTATTTGACGCTGACTTTACGTAGCTGTAAGAATAATGTTAAAAATGCGCTTAGTAATGTTATGAAAGCAATTGTGATAATATTTTAATTATTCGTATTCCTAATGCTGACTTCTGGCAAGTTTGTTTTCGGTGTAACTTAAGGCATTCTATGTACAGTCGACCTCGACAGCACATAGACTATTTAGGTAAATTGTTCCATTATAGGTTTTTAATACAACTGCATAAGATACTGCATGTGTTTAGGTTGATGTGCCGTCGACTTTACATAATTATTATTTAAGTGTAAGATGTAATTTCTTCTTCCCTTCCGAAGTAAGGAAGACAGTGTATTTGGCTGTTAAGTTAAAACTTTGTAAAATGCTACTACTATAAAATTTGTAAATAAAATAATTGTCTATTTTATAAAGATTAATGGTTTTCATTTCTTAATTAATTTCATTTTAATTTTTAGGGTTTCGTACCTCAAAAGGAAAAAACGGAACCCTTATAGGATCACTTTGTTGTCCGTCCGTCCTTCTGTCAAGACCCTTTATCTCAAGAACGCGTGAACGTATCAAGCTGAAATTCACATGAAATACTCAGGTCTATTGTCCCTTTAAGCTGTGAAAATATCAAACTTCTAGGTGTTGCTGATTGCAGCTCATTGTTCTTGATAGGTGTTGCTGATTGCAGCTCATTGTTACAATACTTTTTATTAAAATCGGATTTTATTCCGGAGGTTTTACAATTTCTTACTACTTTCGCAAATCATTACAATTTACGGTGTGGTACCCTCAATGTACAATTAGATTTCGAGCGATACCACTTTTGGGCATTCTCCTTTTAAGTAGTTACTTTCCCCATTGTAATGTTATGAATTTCATTTTGCAATAAAAATACCATAGTTATGACTCGATTGTCGTAATGAACGAACTTTGTAAACCTTGCAGGTTTGTACGGAACCCTCGGTGCGCGAGTCCGACTCGCACTTGGCCGGTTTTTTTTCAGAGAACTACTAATGACCTGTAAGTTTCGTGCCTGCCTATTTTGTAACTCCGATTAATCTTAGGCCTGATTTTTCAATCGTCAGATATGTTTTAACTGAAGAATAAACTTGAAATTTTGATATTATTTCCCATAATGAAGCAATGTGTGGCAGTTTTTTCTGTTAAAAGTTATCCGGAGATTGAAAAATCTGCCCTTAGAACAGTTAGTAACTAGGTTAGTTCGTTTCGCCGTGGGAAGTAATATTACTTCAACGTGGGCACTGGGCAGCCTGTCTAGTGGTACGGACGACAGCAAATCGAGCTTATCTCCGCCGACTCTTACCTAGTTGTAATAGGTGATATTTTGGAACGAAATTGTATAACTCGATGTGCTGGCTACTACATAGCTGGTCTGCTAACTCACGCATTGCGTATTGGAGAACCCGTCGACATAAATTGTTCTGCTATCGGTTTTCCGAGTCGCTTGACTCGGTCGCAGCCCTTGCTGAAATCACGGTAATATATGATAGTATTACCGTGCTGAAATGCCTTACTGGTTGGCTCTACCAAGATTGACATTTCGGTACTGTGAACTCTGGTCAAGATAGACATTTCGGTATAGATGACCCACGCTGAACTGTCCCACCAAACTCAATGACAGGGGGGCGCTACCATATGGTTTCCAACATGGCAAAAATCGGAACCAGCGATCCGGTATTGACGGTGGCGCCCCGCTGTCAATGTCACGGATAGGACAGTTCAGTATTTTGGAACTATACTGTGAAATCAGTAATTATGACATTAATATTTCTGTCATTCCCAAATTCCCAATGACATAAAGGACGTTGAACTTATGAATCCGTAAAGGGATCGTCACCGTATCAACTCGAGGCGGTCAGTATTTTCTTTGTATAAAACTCCATATTTTATACTGCAACGCATACTTATCCGCACCGTAATAAACGCTTCGCCTCGCGTTTGACAGCGCGCGTAAGGCGATGACAGCTCGCGAAGGCGAGCGATACGGTCACAGATAGGGGGCGTCCATTAATTACGTGAGACTTGTAGGGGGGAGAGGGGGTCCAGAAAAACCTCACTTAAACTCACGTGGGGGAGGTGGGGGGTGTCGAGAAATATCACGTATTTTTTCCACAACAAACAGAGTAAATCCTCTGTCTGCATTATTTTGTGAACACAGGCCCAGTTTCTAGATCCGCAGTTTGCTACCAATGCTTAAATATTTTAACAAAATGTAAACTAATAGTTCAAAATTGTACTAAAAGTAAAAAAACTGGACCTAAATTGTTTTGTTTTATTATTTCAGTTATTTTTTTTTACGCTGGTCGGGTTTTTTTTTTATTTTTGAAGCATGGATTATCTCATTTACATTGCAAATAGGCATTTTGGAAAATCTCACGTGAGATTAGGGGGTGGAGGAGGGGGTCTGACAAAATCTCATGAAATATCACCAAGGGGGGCGGGGGTGTTAAAAATAGCCAAAACTATCTCACGTAATTAATGGACGCCCACATAATATGGATACGGTGTTGAAAGGTCTGCTATGCCCAACCCAGTAAACAATGCCTACAAACTGAATTTCACGAAGGCGAAGCCGCCACCAAAAGCTAGATAAAACACTCGTATTTCTGTTCAACAGCATGTCTAGTTGCACATAGAGTGTGTGCCTACCCTCTATGGATACGCTAATGGCATAAATTACCCCATTATCGCATTCCGGTCCACTTGACACTGCTATCTGGCTGACGGGTCGTGTGGGATACGAACTCGCAGGTTAGCTTTGTAATTTTCACTCTAATGGACTAGGAGTTCATAGCAATTTTAAACGCTGTTAATGTGAAATTAGAGAAAATTTTTGGTTTTAGACTTTTTTGTTTTAGTCTATGTCTGTTTTGGTCGCTGACATAACCCAACGGATTTGATTCAAATTCAAATATAATTGTTTATTTTTGCATACTAAGTGTGTACTTATAGGTCTTATCACTAATACATGTACGTACATAACAGCTGATGTGGCTATGGGCAGGGCATATAGTACGCAGAACTGACGGCCGATGGGGCAGCAAGGTTCTGGAGTGGAGGCCACGTACTTACCGGATAGCGCAGCGTAGGACGTCCACCCACAAGGTGGACCGATAATAAAGGTAGCGAGAAGGCGCTGGATGTAGGCCGCCACCAACCGGCCATTGTGGAAATCATTGGGGGAGGCCTATGTTCCGCAGTGGACGTCCTATGGCTGAAATGATGATGATGATGACTGTTAGTCTATGTCCGATAACTTTAAGTTCTTGGCGACCACAGGCCGAAAGACGTAGTGTGTGTGGGAAGGCCGCCCACTATAGACCGACGATCTGGTGAGGGTCGCGGGAGGTGCCTGGGTGCGGGCGGCGCAGGACCGGCCGTTGTGGAAATCCTTGGGGGAGGCCTTTGTCCAGCAGTGGACGTCGTTTGGCTGATACGAAGGCGAAGATTTTGTTCAAAAAAGATGGTTGCAAATCTATTTTGAAAATAATAGGTTCAGTAGTGACCCCTGTCCTACCTACTTTGTACGTAGGTAGGACAGGTCACTACTAAAATTCTTAAAACATAAAAAAGCCAATTATTCGATACAAACCAATACAGATCGGATCCCATCCAAAAACTTGCGAATCAAACAAATTCATACTCAAATAGGGTTGTCTATCGTTATATTTTTTGGGATATTATTATTTTTATTTGCCTCAACAGTTTTTTGATGAATCATGGGTTTGTTTTAATTCAGACGTTCATTCGACCTACTCAATCAACTCTTCATGGCAAGGTGTCTTCATCAGTGCCATTGAGCTGTCGCAGCACAGCACAGTCGACTACAAGTACTTACTTAAGTATTGGTCCTGTCCTAACTCCTAAGTTTTAAAGAGCGCCAAAGCTTTTTTCATCCACTGCCTTAATCTATCTGACTATCTTGAGGTCATCGGTCCGTCAAGCTGGGGGTGTTGTTGTACCCAATAAATAACTTCAAAGCTGACAACCCTACATCGGACCTCCAATTTGTACCAAATCGGAGCGGACGTGTGAACGACATAGACTTATTTTGTTTGTAACTGATTCCGATATTCTGTATCTATCACCTTTATTTTTAGTGGAAAAAGGTTCAATATTCTGTTGTCAACCCCAAAAACGTGATTGGAATGTATCGAAAATAACCTGTCAGTATCAGAATAAAGGTTATTTACCTAACACTGTGTTTCTCAAAGGACTTTATGTAACAAGTGGATTGTTTTTGGGAGTTTGATTCTTTCTTTCATCTGTGAGGAAAAAACTTGGATATTTT